ATGATTCTTAAAATATTTTGAAGATATGAGATAGATTTACAAATCTTGTGAAGATATTGAAATCCAATTCGAAGGTTTTTCCTGTCAAAAAGCCGAATTACAGTAGCCAATTTCTATTGGTCGAAGCTGAGAAAAGGCAGTGAGCAGTCAAGGGTATTTTCAGTCATTTTTCGGTCCACAGAGCTACAAATTCGATGATTCTTAATGCCTTGGAAAGCTAACACAAAGGGATACAAGTTTTATGTTTTGATCAAGAACTAATTCAACTTCTATCATCAAGAAAGGTTCAGTTGAAGTTGAGGCAAAATCAGAGCAGCAGTGAAGATTGAACAGAAATTGTACAAAAAGTCACTGTAGCAATCCGGCCGGAATTTGGCCGGATTGTGGTCAGAAAAGGCTGCTCTCTACGCGAACAAGTTATTTTCACCTCCAATAAGTCACATGTAATGCTAGACATGTGACACCCACTACCAGCTGTAAAGGGAAGGTGTAAATCCTCATTTCTTGATCATTTTTATCTTTATATAGCCATTAAAACTTGCAAGATGAAGGAGAGATGGGAGAAAACCTAGGAATGCAGAAATGTAGTTCTTACATCTTCTGAGTGTTAGATTAGTTTAGAATAGAGCAGTATAGCTCATCCACTCTTGTAATTTGACTAGATTAGGATAAAGATGGAGATGAAGAAGGAGGAGTTGAAACTCATGTGACAGGGGTTATCTCTTCTCCAATTCTTTATCTTTTGTATTGGATTCTTAAGTATGGTTAATATGCAAGTTTTGGATTTTATGTGTCTTTAAAGTTTATACCTTGGGTTTGGTTGAACTTTCTATAATTGTTAGTGTTCATTATTTGGTTATTTGAGCAAGTTATTTTGCACTTTAGCTCTTTAAATCATAATTAACTTGGTACTATTAATTGTGATTATCTAAGGTGTTGCTTCTGCAATAAAAATTGAGATTTAACACTGGTTCAAGAAGTGCTAAAGTTAGGGAGTACACTCACGAGAGTAGAGGTGCACCTTTGTGGCTTTAGTGATTCATTTTATGTAATTTCATAGAGGTAATTAACTTGTAGCTAATTTCATAACCACGAGAGTAGGTATGAATTAGTTATAAGTATAGTTGATTCACTACGAAAGTAGGTTTCACATGCATAAGGAAATTACGCCATAACTAGTCAAGATAGTGGTAATCAATTATCCAAAAATAGCATTTGCATGAGTAGTTAGGGATATCATAACCTAAGGAGTTTTTATCTGCTATTATCTTGCATAAATTTAGCATAATTTTATTTCTTTTAATCCAGTGATCGTCTAAATAATAGAGAAACTTTAGTAGTGCCGGTAACTATCCAATCTTTCTCGTGGGATCGACCCGATATTTGCCCTAAACTACTAATTTGACCTGTATACTTGCAGTCAAAACGGGTATATTTCGAAATTAAACTTGTACTTTTATTAAAAACCCGTCAATAGTGTACCTAATAAATTCTTCTCTGGCTTTCTTCTAGTACCATTAACTTGTTCAAGTTTGGCTAGTCAAGTTAAGTATATTAAATATTCAGTAAGCAAGCCCTACAAGGATGGCCAACCATTAACTAAAATCTCGAACATATCTACATAAACACAAGGATTCACAGGCTAACCGATAGTTATACTACTTTTCTTTCTTGATATTTTCTCTCTCTTTTTCAAAATTTTCACTTTCCCCCCACACTTGAACTTTTTAAATTTTTACTAGGAGGAAATATACTTAATCCTTAACTGTTCAACCTTTTAACATGAACTCCAACATCTTCCAAATGAAGGAATCTAATTACTCAACTTTCATCGTTTAAGAAACATACTCATAGCCATCATAGCTGTTTGTGTGATAGCCCCACCTTCCCCTAAGGTGAACCAAAGGGTTCGGCGGACCGTCTGCCCACCTCTCGCTGGGACTCAGTCATTCACCTCAGATAAAATCGAAACAAAACCACAAGGCAAAGTATAATAACGATTCCAAGCTTAGAACATATACTTATAGACATTTCTATCTCAAAAGAAATTACAAAATCAAATGTACAAAAGTTCTCAATTCCTCATACATCCAACCCTTGCCGAATGCTAGGGCGAGAACAATTACAAAAGGATCAAAAGAACTAGACTAGGCTAGTCTATACAGAGCTCTCGTCCTTACTCGCATCCCCTGTTAAAAAAAACAAAACTAACGGAATGAGCTAAAAGCTCAGTGAGGTTCCAAACACATAAACAAACAAACAGTTCAATACATTAACCATAGATAGCAAGTAATTCAAGAAACATGACAATATAAAGCGATAATAACATTCATTAAAAGGATACGTGCTCACTTGGAGCCATTCATTCATTCAGTCATTCTCCTTTCATTTCCTTATTTCTCCAATCGTTTGAAAAATGCATTTGATAAGTAAAACCCTTCATTTACATTGACATTCGTAAAACCGGGCAGCAAGCTTAAAAAAGTTTCGGTCAGCACACTTTAAAAATTTATAACTTCTACTCTTCTTGTTATTTTCATTCCTTGCACATAACAAGTATTAGATCCAACTAAATAGGGGTTTAAAACATATCAATACTTCATAAACACACATGAATAAGGGTTAGACATTTCATCAAACACTTGGTATGCATATTAGTAAACCTAACCATTACTTGATTAACTCAAGAAACTAACCCCAAATTCAACCATAACAAGTTGTTTTTCACCATTTCAACCTCAAGTAGATGATATAACATCATAAACCCAAATTTTAAAGATTACATACCTTACTTACAAGTTGCTTTGGTCACCTAACAAACCACCACAATAGAAGCTTTAGGCTTGAAACAACCTCAAAGATTGAAGGAAATTTTCTCACAAACTCTAGATCTTTCTTCTTTGGATTTTTGTTCTTGGTTTTTTTTTTCTAGGGTTCAAGGTAAGTATATGGAGCTCTCTCTCTTCCCCCTTTTTGTGCTAAGAAATTCGGCCAACAAGGGTTAAAAAGGAACCAAGTTTAGTCTTTAAATTGTTTTCTAATTCCTTAGTCAAACAAACCCATGGCTAGGGTTTTGCCACATGGCTCCATTAGTAACCTAGACTTTCTTAATCTTTGACTAATGGTTCTCTTAACTTTCCAAATGTACCAATAATTGTTTAACAACTCTAATATCACACAAAAATCTCTACTGCTTAAGAAAAGAACACTTGGTCAATTTCAAGTGGTGCATTAATTTAAAGAAACTCAAGAAAATATTTTTCTTCAATTACAATGAAATGGAATGTTATACATGGAAATTACTATAACATATAGAAAATATATTGTAAGGGCATAGAATAAGTAATTTAAATCCTAGGGTAAGGCACTTGGTACAATGTAAGTGGTGGAAAAAGAAACTAACTCAACAAAATTGTTTTAGCTAAAAGTAAGGATATGAAATGTAATGCATGGAAATTGTTTTAATACATGTAGAATGCTATGCAAGGGTATATTATAAGTGGTGAAATAGTTACAACTAACTCAAGAAAAATGTTTTAATTTCTTAGTGTATACGATAACACATAGGGGATACAATGCTAGGGCTTATAATCCGTGGTTTCATTCTTAGAGTAAGGCATGTAGTTTAGAAAAATTAACTTTTAAAGTGAGGGTTCTCACAAAACATCATTCAAGAGTTGTTAAAAGAGCATGGTTGACAGAAAGAGCAAGCTTTTGCTATTGCACAACAAGAATTTTTGTTTGGGAATTTCATCAAACAGGGGAGGCACAAAAGGCCTTAAACCATTTTGCACAAATCTGTTTCAAACATTTTCGACTAACATTCACCCTCATATATCAAATTTAATCGACAAAATCATTGAAGCATAATTTTCAGGAATTCAATAAGAAAAAACAAAAGAAAGTACAGAGGGAGGGAAAGTTGTTAGGTACCGTCACTTGATAGCAAGTTTTGGCGGGTACCAAGCTTTTTGTGGGTTTCTTTTTCTTTCTTTAGGTAATACTGCTTAGGTGAGAGAGAGGTAGACGCGTTTAATGGCAACTACCTCATGGTCCAGAGTTTTCCACCACTTGAAGAAGAAGACGAAAGGTTGAAGAAGGAAAAGATTTGCGAGAGGAGATAAAAAACGTGAAACTCTTTTGAAGACGGTGGAGGTTGAAGGAAAATAGGTGGGAGGGATTTTTTGAAATATTTTGACACAAACATTTTAACTCCTTGTTCTTTAGAGAAATTGAACAAAACTATTTTAACCTTTCGTGAGAATTTAACAAAATTTTGACAAGGCTAATGAATTGTTTTTAGAGAATTTAACAATATTTTGACATTGCTTAAAAGGAATAAATCTTATATGCACAACAGTGCATACTGTTGTGAATTTCTGTAAACATTACGAAAATAAGAGATCATGCCAAAATTGGTGTTGTGGGGGAATTGATGCTGTGTTAGGGGTTGTCGCAAATGAAATTTGCAGCGTAGAGATAAAGTTAATTTATTTTCAAATTTTTTTAACTGACAATGCAAAGAACAGTGAAAAAAAAAAACAATAGATGCGGCTATACTTGAGCACTGTTGATCAACTTGGTTGATCAATGGTGCAAAGCTATTTTAAAAAATAAAATAAATTTCAAATGCGGCATCCAACAATGGATGTGGCTATACTTGATCACCGTTCATCATGTATATCAACTTGTGATCAATGGTGCAAAGCTTCTTTTCAAAAAAAAAAAATCAAACGTTGCATCCAACAATAGATGCGGCTTCATTTGAGCACCGTTGATCACAAGTGGATCAACGGTGCAAACTTTAAAAACAAAAAAAAAAAAAATTTGCAGCATCTAGCAAAATTCTTCGCACCATTGATAAAAGTGGATCAACGGTGCTAAGTTTTTTTTTTTGTTTAAAGTCGGACGTCGCATGTTTAGCCCCACCCAACCATGCCCACCAATAGTTTTTTTGGCCATTGATTAAATATTGATCGACAGATGGATATAGTCGATAACAACGATTCAAAATGTTTGGCTACAAATACATCACCGACGAGATCTCCATTTGCATCTTTATACTTTGGTCTCTCCAACTTCTTCTTTCCTTTCTGAGTCTTCCCAATTTCTTTGTTCCATTGCTAGGGTTTTCTATTGAAAAGCTCCTGCAATTGTGGTCCTGCATTTGTCCATTTCCATTGTGTCATCGCAATTGTGCCTTTAGATTTTCTGTCGAAGAACAACTGGCATTGTGGTATTGCATTTGTGCTTTCTCATTGTGCAGCCGATTGTTGGTTTATGGTTTGCTATAACGGGAAAAAGGAAATCATAGATGGTTGTTCGCATTGATTTTCTGTATCGGTCAAAAAAAGCCTTTGCTCAGTGTTGAAGTTGGTGGACAGCTATCACATCAAATTGCTAAGAGGTAACAAGTACGATATGTTACGTTGAATTACATTTAATCAGTTTGATATATGTTATTAGTAGTAATTTGTTAGCTAGTTAATTACCTACTGTGAATTTAGTACATTTGATTGGTATTTAAATTAGCAAAATTAGTAATACTATATTAATAATTAATGTTCATGTTTAGGATTTACAAGTTTTTACATTATAATGTTACTATTGTGTACAAGCAGTCACTAATAATTATATTTAATATGTTCTTATTTAGAATAGTCAAAATTTCTATTAAAAGTAAAGAGTACAAGTAGGTAAAAAAGTAAATACTAAATAGTAATAGTAATAATAATAACAATAAAAGCAAATACTAAAAAAAAGTTGAATAGTAAATAGTATATAGTAAATAATGAAAGTAAAAAAGTAATAGTACTCCCGTATGTTAAATAATAGTAAAAATAAATAATAATAGTAAAAATAATTAATTAATAGTTGAAAAGGACAAATGATAAATAGTAAAGTAAATAGTCATTATAAAATATTTAATTGTAATAGTAGATAGTTAATAATAGTCATATTAATACTGGTTGTAACTAATACTAGCAATTACTTCCTTATAATATATAAGAACGAGTTTAAGGCAAAAATGATCTTTGGATTTCAACCATAAGGATAGGGGCCATTTTGGGGTTGTGAGATTGTTTGGAGTGTTGTTATAACGGAGAGTACAATTGTTGATACAACTTTTGTTTTTGGCTTTGGCATAAATAGTCTTCTATGTGGTAATTGCACATAAAGTGTTGTTTGTAAAAGGAATGGGTATTGTAGGAATGTACAATTATTTTAGTTGTATTAACAGTAGATATAAGTGATAACAACCTTTGTTTCACTGAATTTATGTAAACATCATTAATTGATAACTAAACTTAGCAGAAAGTGGTTTATTGACAAATTAGTGATAGGAATTAATTAGGGAGGGGTTTTTGGAAATGTCATTTTGTTGTACTGATCTTTCAAGCAGTTGGCACAAGTGCTAATACCCTTTGTGTTGGTGTAATTACTTAAAACTCTTTAGTTCTCAATTAAGGCTTGGAGAACATGGTTTATGACAGTTTCATGTCTGAGCATTAGCTTCAGTTGCAGCTCTCCGACTTTTGCTTCAAATCCTACTGTTATGATCTTTCAAGCTTCTTGTAAAGGTTTATTTGTCCTGGTTGTGTACTTTGCTTTCCACCTTGCTCGTTGGGCGAAATTATTCTTGGTGATTCAGTTTGGGGTAAGTGTTGTGGGTTGTTTCCGCTTTGATGGTGTTATTTATCTTCTTAAATGGTAGTTTTTTGTTATGAATTCAATGGAGGCATTGTTAAATTGGGTGTTATTTACAACCAAAAATTTTTTTTGGTGTGGTTGTAATGGTGTCGCTTTACTTTAACAGATTTGGAGCAATTGTGAGGAGAAGCTCTGCTGGGAATATTTGTAATATGGTACGCAATTGTTTAGTAGTAGTATGCAACGCTTGTCAATATTTTCATATAAATGTATTTGATTTATGTATGTATTATATGTGAAATTGTTTCGCTTCTGGAAATACGTGATGCATTTGATTTGTAGCTTGTTATTTGTATCGATGATTTGCTTTGGCAATGAAATTGATCTATTCGTGCATTTATATGTATGGCTTGTTGGTTTACTTCTAGGCATACCTGACACTTGATGTTTTACTTATGGGCATTGGTTTGCTCTTTCGTTGGATATTTGTGCTAATTTTAATGCTTCTATATAAGTGACTAAATGTCAAAAATCTATCTATTCATCTTATTGTTAATACCATCACTTCAACAAAATTGTATTACTATTCATTTCACCGATTAGTAAAACAAATGACCTCATTTACAACAAATTTTTTTATTTGGATTTAGCTATAATCCAATGAGTTCTGACTACAATCAGCACCCTCAACTACAGATAAATTTTTAAATGTTCGTTAACTTATTTGATTCTATTGTAACTACATTCAAGAAAACTTGCAGTTAACTTATAATTTAGTCCTAGAAGATAATTTTATCTTCTTCAAGTTCATTATAAAAATTCCTTGGATTTAAAAACTCAATACAAAAAAATGAATTTTTTTAGCTTTTTTATTAAAAATATAAAAAAATGCATTTATTTCTCTGAAAATAATGAATAGATTTATTTCAATTTAGTTTTTCATTCTTATTTCAAAAAACATTTAGTTGAATTGCATCATTTCAATTTCTGCAATGACAATTTTAATTCATTTCACCTATTAATAAATTTATGTTAATTCATTTTCTTATTTATGTTGTTATTACATAAAACACAAAGTACCAATTATCTTAAATTACATGTATCAAACTCCTACGCATTGCATGGGCCCCCAGTAGTAATAGTAATACTTGTACTACTAAAAAAGAATAGTAACAAGTGCGATATTAATAAGAAAAAAAGTCATAAGTAGTAGTAATTACTTACAAATATTAATAGTAGTAATAGTGCAAAATAATAGTAATAAGTGTTTAATTAATATTAAATAGGAATCATTAAATATTACATATTCATAGCATATGTGCTGTTAATTTTATCTTAATGACAAATTCATTCTTGTTTAATTATTCTACGATTTAATACTACTGCATATTATTTCGTTCATGATTATTTTTTTTTGGATGTGATAAATTTTAGTTTAGCTAATCTAAATTCATGTTGAGAATCACCTGAGTGCTTGAATCTAAAATAAATAATATTCATAAAATTAGGTACAAATATGTCCACGGATCTCGCATTGGTGATTCAGTTTTATTGGGGAGGAAAAATAGTAGAAATCGAAGGAACATTTTCATATGATCCTCCGAGATGCAAAAAAGCCATTTTAGTAAAAAATTGCATAGGTTATTTCGAGCTGGTTGATAAAGTGTACACTTACATGGGCCTAGATTGAACTGCGTTCAATTTAAATTTGTGGCGAAAACAAAATAGTATATTTTAAACTTAATTTTTGCTTAAAAGCATAATACATTTTAGGACCATTTTTTTTGTTTAGGATCATCAATTATGATTTAGGGTTTATAAATTAGGGTTCAAGTTTTTTGAATTAGGATTTCAGCTTTATAAATTAGTATTTAAGATTTATTAATTTGGATTTAGGGTTTATAAATTAGGGTTTTGACTTTATAAATTAGAGTTTAAGATTTATAAATTTGGATTTAGGCTTTATAAATTAGCATTTTTTATTTATAAATTGGATTAAGGGTTTATAAATTACAATTTAGGGTTTATAAATTAAAGTTCAAGTTATATAAATTAGGATTTTTGCTTTATAAATTAGTATTTAAGATTTAGTAATTTGGATTTTGACCTTATAAATTAGGATTTGACTTTATAAATTAGAGTTTAAGATTTATAAATTTGGATTTAGGCTTTATAAATTAGCATTTTTGATTTATAAATTGGATTAAGGGTTTATAAATTACAATTTAGGATTTATAAATTAAAGTTCAAGTTTTATAAATTAGGATTTTAGTTTTATAAATTAGTATTTAAGATTTAGTAATTTGGATTTTGACCTTATAAATTAGGATTTTGACTTTATAAATTAGAGTTTAAGATTTATAAATTTGGATTTAGGATTTATAAATTAGGGTTTAGGCTTTATAAATTAGAGTTTTCAATTTATAAATTTGGATTAAGGGTTTATGAATTATGATTTAGGGTTTATAAATTAGGGTTCAAGTTTTATGCATTAGGATTTCAGCTTTATAAATTAGTATTTAAGATTTATTAATTTGGATTTGGGGTTTATAAATTAGGATTTTGACTTTATAAAATAGTGTTTAAGATTTATAAATTTGGATTTAAGATTAATAAATTAGGGTTTAGGCTTTATAAATTAGGGTTTTTGATTTATAAATTTGGATTAAGGGCTTATAAATTACGATTTAGGGTTTATAAATTAGGGTTCAAGTTTTATGAATTAGGATTTCAACTTTATAAATTAGTATTTAAGATTTATTAATTTGGATTTAGGGTTTAGAAATTAGGATTTTGACTTCATAAATTCGAGTTTAAGATTTATAAATTTGGATTTAGGATTTATAAATTAGGGTTTAGGTTTTATAAAGTAGGGTTTACGATTTATAAATTTGGAATTAGGGTTTAGTTATTATATTTTAGGGTTTCATTAAAAAAATAAAAAAATAGATCTATGCATGTGGCTATTAGAAAGCTCGCCGCATGCACTATTGCATGCAACGAATCATATTCAAAAAAAAAAGTGAAAACAAATTTTTCCTTCTCAATCGTAAAAGAAAAATGGAAAAGAAAATTGGTTTTTTTAACAGCCGATAATTTCATTTGCGGGGACCCTTCAATTATCACACAACACCACTTCTCCGACTTTTTCTCTCATTTGCATTATATTTGGAAATTCACCGTTTTATTGCACCGACCGTTTATTTTGAACCCAACAAAATAAATGGTTAGTGAGATAAAACTCAAGTAGAACAAACTAAACGGTTAGTGGAATAAAACCCAAACCCAATAAAATAAACAATTAGTGAGATAAAATCCAAACCTAATATATACACTATCACGGTGGATATATGACACATAAGTAAAATTTTAACTTTAATTTTAAATTTAGATAAGTTATAATGTATCTAATGGTGATTGTGTATACAGTGTATAAAAAATTAATCCAAAATTGATTAGATATGAATCTTTTTGAATTTTGTTTTTAGTTATTAAACCCGGTTTGGTGCGGCCACGGCGGCACTGGAGTTAAGTGGAGCAGACGGCACAATTGAAGGTGGGTGTTGCGGCGGCAAGGTCAGGGGGAAGGTAAATGAGCCAAGCTATGGCAAAGAGGGGGAGGCTAATGGGCCAACAGATGGGGACAGAGGTAGGTTACAAAGGGACGAGAGGAGGCGAGTTCAGCAGGTGTTTAGGCCGAAAGAGGGTCTGGCGGTGGAGAGGGCAGGAGGGAATTGTGCAGCAGAGCATCCGCAGGCATCACTTGCTCTTGATGAGGAAAGGAATGGGGTGGCGGCAGGTTCAGATGTGGATATGGGGACATCTGGGGTGAGATCGAACGCACTACAGCAGAGGAAAGGTGGTGCGGAGGAGTCCAACGCATCTGATGGGGTGCCGTTGTGTCTTCCGCGACTTCTGGTGGCTAAGGATGACGAGCAGGATGCGCTCTGCGCTTGCGAGGTCGGGCAGGATGTGGAGGAAGGTGAGATGGCAGTCGGTTGTCTTGTGGTTGAGGAGGTTATCCAGAATGCTGCCGAACAGGAGATCGAACGGATTGCTGATTTGGTATGTGATGAAATGGTGGAGGCGCGGTTGGATGAGGCTTTGGAGGAAGAGGAGGAGGGAATGGAGGATCAAGCACAGCAGCAGATGCGTGGGGGCCAAGGAAACTTGTCCTCCTCAGGGGAGTATGTACCAGCAGCGGGTAATTTATCTCCACGGGGTACGGCGCTGGCGGAGGGAATTGGTGCGGTTGAGATGGGAAGGCCTTTGGAGCAGCCTCGGCAGGTTCATGATGATTCGTTTCGAGTGGTCACAGGCAAGTCAAAAGGCGTGCGCGCAAGGTTTCCCTCTGATAGGGCCCTGCGATCTACGGTAAGGGCTTCTCAAAATTCTTTCCAACCTTTACCTCATGATTAATGCATTGTTCTGGAATATAAGGGGTATGGTTAAAGCATCCCATTTTCGTAGGCTCAGAAAATTAGTTGTATCTCATAACATTCAACTGTTAGTTGTATGTGAAACGCATGTCCGGATGTCGTTAGCAGAGGATTTTCGGGTTAGACTGAAGTTTGATTATGTGATTTCCCACTCTGCGGGGCTGTTGTGGGTGATTTATAAGTCTCCTTTTTGTTGTTCTTTCATGGGTGACGGTGCTCAATTTTTAAATTTATCTGTGCAACATCCCGGGTTGGTGAGTTCGGTGTCCTTCTCGACGGTACATATGGCCACCACTGGGGAGGAATGGCAGGCTCTTTGGGCGTGGTTGCTCCAATGCAAACCCTCACACGGCCCCTGGCTGGTGTGTGGCAATTTTAATGTTGTTATTGGGGAGGAGGAAAAGAAGGGGGGTCGTTCGTTTACAGTAGCTGAGGCCATTGATTTTGTGACTTTCATGAGTTCTGCTGGATTGGTAGATGGCGGTTTTTCAGGTTCACGTTTTACTTGGTGCAATAATCGCCATGGTCAAGCTATGATCGAGAAACGTTTGGACCGCTTATTGATGAATGTGGAGTGTTTTGATGCTGGTCTGTCAATTAGTGTTACTCATTTGGAACGTCATCCCTCCGATCATGCACCATTGTTACTATCCGCTGGTACAAGGTTGGATGGCAAACCCCATATGTTTCGATTCATCAATGCTTGGGCGGATCGTGAGGATTTTTTGGAGGTGGTGAGAGAGTCATGGCAACAAGAGTGTGGTGGGCCTCCTATGCATGTGCTCTGCTCTAAGTTACAGAGACTCAGGCGGCATCTTCAATTGTGGAACAAGGACCGTGTGGGGAATTTTTCAGACAATGTAGCAAAGGCAGAAGAGGAGGTTGGAAGGTTAGAGAGAAGATTAGAGGATGGGGGGTCGGAGGAGGTGCATGTGGAGCTCCAGTAGGCTCAGGCC